TACGAGACTGCATGTACATTTCTCCCTCACACACTTGGATGTATGCAGGAAATTTTCCAGGAGGGGGCAAAAAAATGAGGGCGGGGCACAAAGTAAAAGACTGAAAGGGTACAACAGGCTAATTTCTCACGGAAAGTAAGAAGCGTTGTATAGTGGTACCTCGGGTTACATACGCTTCAGGTTACATACTCCGCTAACCTAGAAATAGTGCTTCAGGATAAGAACAGAAATCTGGTTCCGGCGGGAGCAGGAGGCCCCATTAGCTAAAGTGGTGCTTCAGGTTAACAACAGTTTCAGGTTAAGTACGGACCTCCGGAACGAATTAAGTACTTAACCTGAGGTACCACTGTACCTGTACATTTTGCCTCATTTCATGTTCTAAAATTTCTATAAAGTTACTTTTTAAATAAAGTGAAAGTTGGGAATCTGAGGGTTGTGGTTTATCCTGGGGGCACCAAAGAAAGCCTTTGCGGGCTCCTTGGTACCTGTGGCCGCAGTTGGTGGTCCCTGAATTAACACCTCATTGTGCAAGCCACATCATAGGGCATATAATGGTTAATAGCTTACTTGCAGAATTAGCTTTGAATCTGACGCAGTAGAGAGATAGATATTGTCCAGTAGCACCTTAGAGACCAACTAAGTTTGTTCTTGGTATGAGCTTTTGTGTGCATGCACACTTCTTCAGATACACCAGAAGTGTGCATGCACACAAAAGCTCATACCAAGAAGAAACTTAAAGGTAAAGGGATCCCTGACTGTTAAGTCCAGTTGCGAACGACTCTGGGGTTGCGGCTCTCATCTCGCTTTACTGGCCGAGGGAACCGGCGTTTGTCCGCAGACAGCTTCCAAGTCATGTGGCCAGCATGACTAAGCTGCTTCTGGCAAATCAGAGCAGTGAACGGAAACGCCGTTTACCTTCCCACCGGAGCGGTACCTATTTATCTACTTGCACTTGACATGCTTTTGAACTGCTAGGTGGGCAGGAGCTGGGACCAAAAACGGGAGCTCACCCCACCGCAGGGGTTCGAACCGCTGACCTTCTGATCGGCAAGCCCTAGGCTCTGTGGTTTAGACCACAGTGCCACCCGCGTCCCTTAGAGACTTAGTTGGTCTCTAAGGTGCTACTTAGGGACACGGGGGTCCCTTTACCTGTAAGGTGCTACTGGACATTTTTTAAATATAGCTTTGAATTGTTACACATTGTAAAGCTTACTCAATAATTTATAAAAAATGTTTGTTAGTTTTTTATAAAACATGAAGAGGACAAGTCAGAGAAGTTATAAAGTTGATAATTACATTTCAGTATGCAAGTCCATTTCATTATTATTCAGTTTCCAGGCGTCCATAATGTTCATTGAGTTGAAGGGAGATAGGAAATATTTTTTGACATAGACATATATTCAATAAATTCATCAGCTTCTGCACTTTTTCTTTGTGCTGTAATTATATAGGATCAATTTTTCATGAGGGAAGTCAGCCAAAGTTGACACAAAATTTTTGTCTACCACCATTAATCTGTAGATCTCAGGACAGTATATAAAACTACAAGATAAAAAACACATAATACATAATAAAAACAAGAACAAACCAGTAGCCCACTCTCCCACCCGTTCTGACCAAAAATTAAATAATACTTTGCAGGACCACCGCATACAGTAAAATGTTCCTCTTTCAATGCATTTTCTCCAACACATCTAGGTTTTATTTGAATTTATTCAGTAAGATACCAGCAAAGTATCATTTTAATGGAATCTGCTTTAATTCTAGCTGACACTGATTTGAGTGTTGTTCTATATGACAGTCCACGGTTCATCTTTAATATTCACTTGCAGGTTCCCAGGTTGTTTCTGAACTTGTATATGTATCCCATGTATTCTTCAATTAAGAATTTATAAGTTTATAAATTTATAAGGGGACGCGGGTGGCGCTGTGGGTAAAAGCCTCAGCGCCTAGGGCTTGCCGATCGAAAGGTCGGCGGTTCGAATCCCCGCGGCGGTGTGCGCTCCCGTTGCTCGGTCCCAGCGCCTGCCAACCTAGCAGTTCGAAAGCACCCCCAGGTGCAAGTAGATAAATAGGGACCGCTTACTGGTGGGAAGGTAAACGGCGTTTCTGTGTGCTGCGCTGGCTCGCCAGATGCAGCTTTGTCACGCTGGCCACGTGACCCGGAAGTGTCTCCGGACAGCGCTGGCCTCTTAAGTGAGATGGGCGCACAACCCAGAGTCTGTCAAGACTGGCCTGTACGGGCAGGGGTACCTTTACCTTTACTAAGTTTCGAACAAAAGTTATTTGCTATTGTTTCCTGTTGAAATTACAAAAATTTCTAAAGTACAAAGTGGTATTTTTACCTGATTGATTTGGAACCAAGTATGTTTAAGTTCTAATTGTAGTAGATCGCCTGATTTGGCCTTATTACCAATATAAAAATCTTTGACATTGGAGATATATATTTACAATTCCCCCCCACCCCCAAAGAAGCATGTCTTGTTTTAAAAAGGGAGTCTTAACTGATTTATTTTTTTGAGATGGATGAATTAAATACTGAGGCCCTCTCAAGTTCTGTCTTGCTTTTCCAGCCATTTCCATTGTTACCAAAATTCTTTTTGTATTACTTTTTAGTATTGAAATTTTTATGTAAGATGCATTGTGGTATGATGGTCATCCTGGAATGTGTATTCCTCTGTTTTTTGTAGACTTAATATGTTGTTGTTGTTGTTGATGCTGCTGATAATAATAATAATAATAATAATAATAATAATAATAATAATAATAATAAAAAAATAATTATATGGTACCCACTCTGGGTGGCTTCCAGCAAGATATAAAAACGCAATAAAGCGTTAAACATTTAAAACTTACATATGAAGGGCTTTGTTTAGGTGTCCTCCAAAAGTCATCTCTTTAATATCTAATGGGAATGTGTTCCACAGGGTAGGTACCCCTACTTAGAAGGCCCTCTGTCTGGTACCCTATAACAGGTACGTCCAACAGGTAGATCGTGATCATTTTTGTACTGCACCCTTCCTCCCTAAAAAAAAAAAAGCTCAACTACATTGACCTGAACCTCAAAAAAGGGGGTAGATCACTGCCAGTTTTTCACTCTGTGAGTAGATCGCAGTCTCTTGCCCTATAACCTCACTTCTCATAGCGACGGAATCATCAGAAGGCCCTTGGAGCTGGATCTCTGTCTGTGCTTAACAATCGGGGTGGAGACGCTCCTTCAAGTATACAGAGCCAAAGCCATTTAGGGCTTTAAAGGTCAACACCAACACTTTGAATTGTGCTCGGAAATGGTCTGGGAGCCCATGTAGATCCTTTAGGAGCGGTGTTATATGGTCCTGTTGGCTGCTCCATCAGCAGTCTAGCTGCTGCATTTTGGATTAGTTGTAGATTCTGAGTCACCTTCAAAGGTAGCCCCACGTTCATAAGAATGTGCAGCATCGTACAGCATGGTTTTTGATACCTTCTTTTTGTCTGAATCTATAGATGCAAGAATGATTTTTTCCTTGATCTCAATGTGTAATATTAATATTAAAAATAGAATAATTCATCATTTGCACTATATGCTGACTGGGCATATAATCATTTGAATTGCTGCTATCCTTACAAGCCAAGAAAGTGATTAATTGTCCCATTCTTTTAGCTGTTATTTTATTTGCTGGATTAACAGTTGTAAATGAAATAGAAATGTTAAGTTTCAGTGTTGGGGGATATCTACACCTAGGTATTTATTTATTTTTGCATATTTGCCAATTCGTTTCCTTCGGTTAAAGACCTGCTATATATCCATATTCTTTAATTACATTCATTACATGTGGCATAACTTCATTTAGGTTCAAGATCATAAACACAATGTCATCTGTAAATTATTTAGCTAACGTGTTTCACCATCAGTAGCGTTAGGATTATTGTGTAACGTGTTTGCCTTGGCAATGGAAACCTTGGCTAATAACATCGGCGACAATGGACAGCCATGTTCTGTTCCTTTATTTGCTTGAAAAGCACCAGAGTTCTATCTGTTAGCTCTGATGTGTGTCTGGCTATTTTTATATAAATATCTTTATATTTGAATGACTTGTCAATTCCTATAAATTCTAAGACCTTAAAAGAGAATCCCATTCCAATTTGCCAAAGGCCTTTGTCACATCAAACAACACAAAGTGCCTTTGACTCTTTAAGATGAGTAAATTACATTTATTATGTGGCTGAAGGAATTAGCAGTTAATCATGTTTTAATAAAACCAGTTTGCTCTAATTGTATGTATTTTGGTGCTAAATTTGAAGGATGTTCTATAAGAACATTTGAACAATTTAGCATCAGTGTTAATTAGAAACACAGTACAATCGTATTTAACTTGCGCAATTCCAACCCAGTGCAAAAAGAGATTTTAAGCTTTCTGCCTTGTTTGGGAAGCAACCTTGTTTAGACGATGGGCACAGGGTGCTCCCACAAGATCCCACAAGAACACCCCAGGGCCTCTGGGGTTGAGGCGCAAAAAGAACTTTTCAGCAAGGTTCTCTATGCCCGGCTCTGGAAGCCGCCTGATGGGGTGGTTCTCATGGTTTGAGTGTATGTGTTTTTGCGTATAAGGTAAAGGTAAAGGGACCCCTGACCATTAGGTCCAGTTGTGACTGACTCTGGGGTTGGGGCGCTCATCTCGCTTTCTTTCCAAAGGGAGCCGGCGTACAGCTTCTGGCTCGTGTGGCCAGCATGACTAAGCTGTTTCTGGTGAACCAGAGCAGCGCGTGGAAACACCGTTTACCTTCCCACCGGAGTGGTACCTATTTATCTACTTGCACTTTGACGTGCTTTTGAACTGCTAGGTTGGCAGGAGCAGGGACTGAGCAATGGGAGCTCACCCCGTCGCGGGGATTCGAACCGCCAACCTTCTGACTGGCAAGTCCTAGGCTCTGTGGTTTAACCCACAGCGCCACCGGAACCAAACCCCTGCATGCTTTATCCGTCTATGAGTCAACCTGTTCTTTATCTTTGTTTGGTTTAGGTAACACTATGATTCTGGTTCGTTTCCAGGACGATGGAATCTGTCCCCCTTCATTAACTTCATTAAAGAGTTTTCCAGGTAGAGGCAATTGAATATTCTGAATTTCTAAATCCAAAGCTCCAGCGAAACCATTGGTTCCTGGTGCGTTGGCTGGTTTAAGTTTAGATGCACATTTTAAATTTCTTCCTGTGAGATCAGTTTGTTTAAACAATGATTTGGAGCATATGATCTGTATTGCAGTCGACTGACTGACTGACTAAATTAATGAAGTGGGTGAAAAGCAGGCAAATGCAGCCATGTTGGGGCACAAGGCATCACAACCCCTTTCTAGAGTCTGGCATTTCTCTTACAGCACTTAGTTGTCTTGTTTGGTGGAGCTAATGGGGGAGAGGGGTTTGGCAAAGCCATCAGATTTGCAGTTTTGAAGTGAATGGGGTCTCTTGTTCAGCCATTGATGAATTCTTCTGAACCCTACTCACCTTTATTGACACATGAGAACCAGTGGCTGCCAGATTTCAAGATCCAGATAATGACTTCCTAAGGATAATCTAATGAACAGTAATGGTATTAGTGATCAAATAGTTTTAAAATTGGAAGTGTTAATGCCCTAAACTAGTTTGCCCTCAAAATGATATAAACCTGGTATAAATATAGTAAAAAGTGCCTCTGGTAAATAGAATGCCAACTTGCTTGAGTGGGGATGTTGCTTGGGTAAGTTTCTGACCGCGTGCTCTAAATTATATTAAGTAATATACACCAAAGCAGCATTCAAAATAAGTAAATATTCCAATACTAATGGTTCTTCCTTTCTTTTTCTTCTGTTTTAATGCAGCGGTACAAAACTGGAAATCCTTTTGACTGAATGGATTTCAAAAGTAGCTCTCTGCTTCTAGCCAAAAAAAGGGTCAACCACATCAAAATGAAGCAAGTACCAGAGATCCTTGGAAATCCTACAGGGAAAACACAGAACTGTGAAGTGAATCGTGAGTGTTCTGTTTACCTGGGCAAAACACACCTTTCTGCTACACTACAGGAGGACGTTATGCCGAAATATAATGGCCACGATGCTCTCCCATTTATTCCTGCGGACAAACTGAAAGATCTCACTTCTCGTGTGTTTAATGGAGAATCGGCAACACAAGACACCAAGCTGCGCTTTGAGTCTGAGGATATAAAAGAACCGGCAACTCCACCTAACACTACACCTGTCAAGAATGGTTCTCCAGAGATTAAACTGAAAATCACTAAAACCTATATGAATGGAAAGCCTCTATTTGAATCTTCAATTTGTGGTGACAATGGAATTGATGTGTCTCAGGCAGAGGAAAATGAGCAAAAGCCAGCAAATAAGGAAAGGAGAAATAGAAAAAGAAGCATCAAATATGATTCCTTACTTGAACAGGGTTTTGTTGAAGCGGCATTAGCATCAAACACATCTAGTTCCTCTGATGAGAAGGTACAGAATTTATTTGCTACCTCTGCTCTTTGGGTAACTCGTGTCAGCCAAAGTTACCAATGTTTGACCTGTTTTTTCCTAACTGATCAGTCAGGTAGCAGCTGATGGCTCCTACAAGGTTCTGAGTTTCAGAGTCTATTAATAAGTCTAGCAAATGAAGTTGGAGAGGATAGACATGCATCCCCATGCTTCACTCATTTGATTCCATTTCATCCTTCCCCTTCTCTGGCGCTCCCCAGAGTGAACTTGAGACAGACAATCTAATAATAGGAAGTTTTAATAATGTATTTAATGATAATGGACCATTAAGGTCCAGTTTTGAATCATGTTATGAAAACAAATTTTTCATCTTCGTTTTGATGATGAAACAATTCCAGTTGACGGGTTATTGAAGAGGGACTATTTGTATTAACTTTGATGCACCAAAACAACATCATCATCACAAACAATAACAATAATAATACCTTTATTGTCATTGTACAACCTGTGTACAGTGAAATTAAACGAGCCTCCCCCCCTCAATCTCATTCCACTCTTTGTGCTTATTGGACAACACCCCCCCCCTTTCAAGGCAATTGCTCTATGTTATTTTCCGTTCAACAGCCTAACACCCCACGGATAGAAGCTATTTTTTAGCCTGTTGGTACGGCTGATTATACTTCTATATCTCCTGCCCTACATGGGTAGCTAGCCAACATGGTGCCCTCCAGTTAAAATTTCCTTCAGCCCCAACTATCTTGGTTTAGCTACCTATGTTTAGATGGACTGTTTTACTGAGACATTTTGCTGTTCAGACTTTGTGCAACGGAATGCAAAATGAATCTAGCGTCTCGCACACACTCATTCTGAAGCACTTTGTTATTAATTATAAAGGTAACAAGGCTATACCAAGCAGCTTTGGTATAGCGTTTTATGATCCATAAAGAATGTGTTTCATGGATGTGAAGGAGATAATTTTTCTCAGCTGGGCTTCTGCCTATGCTGCCCTTGAATTTTTTTAAAAGTTGTATTTGCTGTATTGAAGGGATCATTGTTTGTACAGTTAGGTGCCAAGTACCTTTGACTCAAAGTGTATGAATTTCCCAGCAAGAGACCAGGGAAAATAAACGTAAAGGTAAAGGGACCCCTGACCATTAGGTCCAGTCGTGGCCGACTCTGGGGTTGCGGCGCTCATCTTGCTTTATTGGCCGAGGGAGCCGGCGTACAGCTTCTGGGTCATGTGGCCAGCATGACTAAGCCGCTTCTGGCGAACCAGAGCAGCGCACGGAAACGCCGTTTACCTTCCCACCGGAGCGGTACCTATTTATCTACTTGCACTTTGACGTGCTTTCGAACTGCTAGGTTGGCAGGAGCAGGGGCCGAGCAACGGGAGCTCACCCCGTCGCGGGGATTCGAACCGCCAACCTTCTGATCGGCAAGTCCTAGGCTCAGTGGTTTAACCCACAGCGCCACCCGTGTCCCTAAAAATAAACTTAGGAGTAAAAAAAAGGAGGTGTCAGTATTGTTGTGTTTCTTTTTTGAGTTACTTATTTTGCCTTAAGTAGGTGTAATAATCGGAAGCCAGCTAGGAGCTAAGTTGTCCTTTCAATATGCAGTCCTGCAAGATGTTAGTAAAGTAGCAGAGGGGTCCATTTACCTCTGATTAATAAGAACCTCCATGTGCTTACTACAGATAACTTCTAATCCGTGGGCCACTTTTGGCCAGCTATGACATTTCCCACCAAAAACCCATACCCACCTGCCAATCAGACTCTAATCGGGTTTCTCTGAAGTTGTACTCTCCATGAAATGGCAGGTATAAAGTTTTCGTGTATTTCTTAATCTAAAATAGTCAATGTCCTATGTGGTTCAGAGGGTCTTTTAGCAGTGACTGCAGCCATTCCTGGACATGGATAGTCACGATGATTCACACTCTGGTAGTCTCCTAGTTGGATTACTGTAATGTGTTATATGTGGGACATTCCTAAAGATGACTCAGAACGTCCAGTAAGTGAATAACACAGCATCCAGCATTTTGACTGGTAGATTCATGACTGCCCATGTTATAACAATTTTGGAAGAATCATACGTCTACCTACTTTATTCAGAGTCCAATCTAAGGTACCTGTGCTTTACCTTTCATGTATGCTCCTCTCCATGTGTGCACCTGCAGCCTCAAGTAGTACAATGCAAGAGGAGCTTTATGAGTTAATTTTATTGGATGTATAAACTAGCCTTAAATAGTACTGGCTTTCTGATACAGCATATGGAAAAATTGTTTGTTTGCTACCATTTAATTCTCTTGACAGCTTGAATCACAAAGGTTTTTTGGAAGTCCTTGCAGCCTTTGCATGTGGTGTATGAAATTATTCTGGAAGACTGACAAGAAAGAAAGTTCCTTGACCTTTCTAGAATGGTCCACAAACACACACTGTGATCACGGACTTAGAGCTAGAAACTCAATTTTGTAAAATGAATACAGGGTTGAATCGCATAAACACTGATAATATACAGTGGTGCCTCGCAAGACGAAATTAATTCGTTCCGCAAGTTTTTTCTTCTTGCGAGTTTTTCGTCTTGCGATGCACGGTTTCCCATAGGAATGCATTGAAAATCAATTAATGCGTTCCTATGGAAACCGACTTCTGAAGGCTGGGGGGGCGAAAGTCTTTGCTTCCCCCCCCCCACGGCAGCATTTTAAAATCGCCCCGGACTTCTCCGCTGTCCGGGGCGATTTAAAAGCCCTCCCGGGAAGGCAGCCAGGGGGGACAAAGATTTTCGCCCCCCGCCAGCCTTCCCCTCTTTTGAAGCAAGGGGCGGCAACGGGGAGAAGATCGCTTCTCCCCTTTGCCGCCCCTTGCTTCAAAAAGGGTCCGGGGAGAGAGGAGAAGGCGCGCGCCTTTCCCTCTGTCCCCTCTTTTGAAGCAAGGGGCGGCAACGGGGAGAAGATCGCTTCTCCCCTTTGCCGCCCCTTGCTTCAAAAGGGGTCCGGGGGGAGAGAGAGGAAGGCACGCGCCTTTCCCTCTGTCCCCTCTTTTGAAGCAAGGGGCGGCAACGGTGAGAAGATCGCTTCTCCCCTTTGCCGCCCCTTGCTTCAAAAGGGGTCCGGGGGGAGAGAGAGGAAGGCGCGCGCCTTTCCCTCTGTCCCCTCTTTTGAAGCAAGGGGCGGCAACGGGGAGAAGATCGCTTCTCCCCTTTGCCGCCCCTTGCTTCAAAAGGGGTCCGGGGGGAGAGAGAGGAAGGCACGCGCCTTTCCCTCTGTCCCCTCTTTTGAAGCAAGGGGCGGCAACGGGGAGAAGATCGCTTCTCCCCTTTGCCGCCCCTTGCTTCAAAAGGGGTCTGGGGGGAGAGAGAGGAAGGCGCGCGCCTTTCCCTCTGTCCCCTCTTTTGAAGCAAGGGGCGGCAACGGGGAGAAGATCGCTTCTCCCCTTTGCCGCCCCTTGCTTCAAAAGGGGTCCGGGGGGAGAGAGAGGAAGGCGCGCGCCTTTCCCTCTGTCCCCTCTTTTGAAGCAAGGGGCGGCAACGGGGAGAAGATCGCTTCTCCCCTTTGCCGCCCCTTGCTTCAAAAGGGGTCCGGGGGGAGAGAGAGGAAGGCACGCGCCTTTCCCTCTGTCCCCTCTTTTGAAGCAAGGGGCGGCAACGGGGAGAAGATCGCTTCTCCCCTTTGCCGCCCCTTGCTTCAAAAGGGGTCTGGGGGGAGAGAGAGGAAGGCGCGCGCCTTTCCCTCTGTCCCCTCTTTTGAAGCAAGGGGCGGCAACGGGGAGAAGATCGCTTCTCCCCTTTGCCGCCCCTTGCTTCAAAAGGGGTCCGGGGGGAGAGAGAGGAAGGCGCGCGCCTTTCCCTCTGTCCCCTCTTTTGAAGCAAGGGGCGGCAACGGGGAGAAGATCGCTTCTCCCCTTTGCCGCCCCTTGCTTCAAAAGGGGTCCGGGGGGAGAGAGAGGAAGGCGCGCGCCTTTCCCTCTGTCCCCTCTTTTGAAGCAAGGGGCGGCAACGGGGAGAAGATCGCTTCTCCGCGTTGCCGCCCCTTGCTTCAAAAGAGGTCCGGGGAGGTCGCTGTCCGGGGCGAATTTAAAATGCTGGCGGGCGGCAGCGAAGCCTTCGCTGCCGCCCGCCAGCATTTTAAAAAACCTCGGGACAAAGGAACAACCAGCATTTTAAACAGGACAACCTCGCCAGCATTTTAAAAAACCTCGGGACAAAGGAAAAGTCCCCCGCTGTCCCGGGGTTTTTTTAAATGCTGCTGGGCGGCAGCGCTGCCGCCCGCCAGCATTTTAAAATCGCCCCGGACAGCGGAGAAGTCCTCCGCTGTCCCGGGGTTTTTAAAAAACCTCTCCGCCCCCCGCCAGGCTTCAGAGCAGCCTTCCGAAGCCTGGCGGCGGGAGGAGGTCCGAGGACAGTGGGCAAGACGCCCTGTCCCGGAGATTTCCCTATGGGCTTTCGTCTTGCAAAGGAAGCCCATAGGGAAATTCGTTTTGCGAAGCGTCTCCAAAACGGAAAAACCTTTCGTCTAGCGGGTTTTCCGTCTTGCGAGGCGTTCGTCTTGCGGGGTACCACTGTATCCTCAACCTATTTTATGCATGTACCTAAAAACGTCATGTGTCTGTACAGCAGATATGAATTTTATTGGTGCATATGTCAGAAAGTCAGGAGTCAGCCATTGCTCCCCACTGCACATGAAATGGCAAGTATATGCTTTTTGACACATGTGTGAAGTGGTACTGCGACTTGTGTTGCTGAAAATTCCAATAACAGTAATATCTAGGGGCTCTAAAGCAACAATTGATACCAGTTGTGGCTTTCGGTAGCTGTCGCTTCAACTCCTTTTACTTCCAGAGAAGCTGAGGCTCCCTTGTTCCTTTAAAATTGGAGTTCACTCTTCATTTCAAAGTAATATATTTTCCCTGTTACCAAATAACAGAAAGTTCATAGCCTTGAAAAAATACGATGGGTGCCCTGATAGTTGTATCCCTTTAGCTGTGGATCTGTGACCCAAACTTAGTTTATATGGCTAAACGTTTTCATGAACATTCCAGTTAAAGTTACCATTCATTTGCAATGCTCCAGGCACACGGTGTATTGTTACCAATTAAGCGTGATTTATGGAACATTCTTCATTCCCTGCGCACTCAAATATGAAAATATTTTTGTTTGATCAAGTTGCTAGAATTTGTAATTGTCTGCCTTTTTCTTTCTCTAAAAAGATTCCTGCTAAAGAAGATTCTTCTTTACTACTTGGAAAAGATGACAAAACTCATGTATTGAAGTACAATGTAGGAGACTTGGTATGGTCCAAAGTATCTGGCTATCCCTGGTGGCCGTGCATGATTTCAACTGATCCTCTTCTTTACAACTTCACAAAACTAAATGGTATGTCCTCTGTCTTTGGTAGTTTTGCATTTGCAGCTATTTCTATGTTAGGCCCAAAAACTAAAAGGAAAGCCACCAGTAAACTGGGATATTTTATGTGTCTCTGTTGGCTTAAATACACAAAGAAGATGTAAGCTTTACAAGTTGTACTAAGCTTTGTATTAGAAAAATAGCTAAAATAAATGTGAATAGTGTTGTAATTTGAATAAGATTATTACAGATATTTTGATCATGGTGTATTGAACTGATCATTTATTACTCATTGATTTATAGATCCATCTTATCTATAGATAAGAATTAAACAGTTGGTGTCATGCTTTTTGTCTACTAAGAAAAATAATTTGAGTTCTTCTGGGTCAGTCTCTTGTAGGCGACTATTTGTATTGGTTTTCTTTTCCGCTCATGCAATTTCCACAGTTAAATCACAAAACAAGGCTTATAAGCTTGTTGCAGACAAGATATAGGGACAATGTTTTTGATTTGTTTTGCTAATTTTCAGATTTAGCATGATACCATAGCTCAGCCAAGAGTCCTCCATATGTTTTGGACTGCAACGGCTATCAACCCCAGCCATCGTGGCCAGTTGTAGTACAAACAGAGAAAGCACCAGGTTGGGAAAGACTCGCATAGTCTCTGACCTGCCCCCTTCTTTCAACCATACCCTATAAACCAGGCATCAGCAAACTCGGCCCTCCAGATGTTTGGGGACTACAACCCTCATGATCCCTAGCTAACAGGACCAGTGGTCAGGGGTGGTGGGAATTGTAGTCCCAAAACATCTGGAGGGCCGAGTTCGCCTATGCCTGCTATAAACCTTGCCGTTGCACCTCCCTGTGATCTAGTGTAGGTGGAAGTTCTCCCAATAGTATAACAGAACCCAGTTATGTAGCTGTTTGCACGGTGAGATTGTCTTGGCCAAGCTGTAACTTCATGTGTGTCACAGTTGCTACTTTTCAATCTTTAGCCCCTCACTACTGAATGCTTCTGAAAAAAATTAACTGTTTGAGATTAGTAATATTATTGACTTTTGCAAAGCCTTTTTTCAAAGGACTGCATTGAGTAATGCCCTATTTCTTTAAACTGTCCAGTTAAAACTAATTTATATTTCCAAACTCCCCTCTCTCTCTGCATGTGTGTGACATAACAGAGTTCATGATTTTTTTAAAAAAAGAATCTAAACCTATATATTAAGAGATCAGAGCCTGAAAGAAACAAAGGTTAATCCTTTTTCCATTTTTCATGAAATGTGTTTTTACATTTATGTATGTTTATATCAAAATTTCTAGGTGACAAAATAATTATATAAGTGTGCCTGCTACCTTTTCCAGGACAAAAGAAGAGCTTTCGCCAATATCATGTTCAATTCTTTGGAGATGCCCCAGAACGAGCATGGGTGTTTGAGAAGAGTCTTGTACCATTCAAAGGAGAAGAGCAATTTGAGCAATTGTGCCAGGAAAGTGCAAAGCATTCCCTTACCAAAGCAGAGAAGATAAAGGTAAATATTAATGTGTTATGTATTAACATAGTTGTTCAGTTATCTGCTTGAATGTTCACATGTGCCACTGCATGCATATGTATTTATTTATTTCAATTTATAAATTTATTTGTAAAGGGACCCCTGACCATTAGGTCCAGTCGTGACCAACTCTGGGGTTGCGGCACTCATCTCGCTTTATTGGCCAAGGGAGCCGGCGTTTGTCCACAGACAGCTTCCGGGTCATGTGGCCAGCATGACTAAGCTGCTTCTGGCGAACCAGAGCAGCACACGGAAACGCCGTTTACCTTCCCACCGGAGCGGTACCTATTTATCTATTTGCACTTTGATGTGCTTTCAAACTGCTAGGTTGGTAGGAGCAGGGACTGAGCAACAGGAGCTCAACATGTCACGGGGATTTGAACTGCCGACCTTCTATTCAGCAAGTCCTAGGCTCTGTGGTTTAACCCACAGCACCACCCGCGTCCCTCATTTCAATTTATATACCGTCCTTTATCCAAAGATCCCAGGGTGGTATACAACATTAGTAACATGATTTACACATCATAATAACAGGCCATAGAATAAAGAGGATTGTTTTCGCCTGGCTCCTAAAGATATTCAATGATGACACGAGGTGAGCCTCTCTCTCGAGGGCATTCTACAGGTGCCACCACAGAAAAGGCCCGTTCTCATGTTGTCACATTTACAGTTTTAGCATAATGCCATAGCTCAGCCATGTTACTTCGTATGTCATGTTGTTATTGGGTGTATTCCTGCTTCAGCTATGGCACATTCTTTCCAAGTCATTGTTCCCTGCACAATTCAGCATCCCTTGTTTAGTAGCATATATCTTTTTACATTTTGGGAGTAAAAGCTTCATTTGAATATATTAATAGGAGACCGACATTTTTCATGATCCCTACGGGTAAGGGTTTAGTTTCATTCTCTTTTGTTGATGTGCTTCTCTGCAGATGTTAAAACCTGTTTCAGGAAAACTACGCCCCCAGTGGGAGATGGGTCTTAAGCAAGCAAAAGATGCATTGTCCCTGACAGCGGAGGAACGAAAAGTCAAGTACACCTTCATTTACGTTAGGGGAAGACCTCTTCTCAATCCTCAAGTGGCCAAAGAAGCAGGTCTTGCTGTGAAGTCTCTGGAGGAAATGGATAAAATTTACACAGATGAAGACATTTCTCAGACTTTGAAATCAAAGAAAGAATCTGATATTCCTACCAAGAGGAGGAGGAGAGCAAAACTGCTTGCATTGAATGAATCAGACGAAGGCATTGAACCAGTTAAGAATATCACCCCTGAAAAAGTCCTTGAAGGCAGAGAAGCCAAAAGGAGCACAGGGTCTCCTGTTGCTAGGAAAAAAGTTGTTGCGTACACCCCACGAAACAGAAAGGGAGATGCAGTTTCTCAGTTCTTGGTTTTTTGTCAGAAGCACAGAGATGAGGTTTGTGCATTTGCCTTCAGAACTTGTATTACGAAGCTTAATTCATATGCATATCTGTTTTCCTTGTGATAGTGTCCCAGAGGTGCCACAAGCACTCTTAATACATGAACTCTCTCTGTTCTCTCATAAATATACACACATGCACACATGTGTGCATACAGAAACCTATTAATATACCCCATCTTTCCTCAAAAGGAGATCAAGCATAATGCACGGGGTTAACTTTTTTTCTCCTGCCATCAAACATGTGAAATAGTTTAAATTGAGAGAGTGACTTGTGATGGCCTAGAAGCATTTGATCCCCAAAGCAGCATTATGCATTGACTTACCTGCATAAATGGGCTTTTTAATCCAAACAGAAGTCTTGGTTATTGAGGGTGGAACTGTGAACATTTCTTCAGTGTTGTGGTCAAGGTAGATAATGTAAACCAGTTCAGATCTCATCCTCACTTCAACCACTATTCTGTATACAGACTTAAAGGGTTGTCCATCTCTGACCCAGTGTCTGTTTGTTCTGAGTTTTCTCTGGTGGGGCAGTTCAGTTTGGAGGGCAGATTTAGGGTGGAAAAACAGCATAGATGAAAGGTTAAGCCCTGTGTGTATTTTGCAGCCTCAATCATTACCTTGGCAGATGCTTTGAGGGAAAGGGGGATATGTGCTTGAATCTTATGTTTGTGTGTATAGAAACGGTGGTCTTGGTAGCAGAGTACTCCTGATGATGAAGAGAGAATCATAAATTGAAAATGAGCACCTTTTAGTGGTATTTTAGTAAGTGAAACATACACCAAAATTTTCCAGGCAAAGGCCAAAAGTATCTGAGGCAACATGAGTACAGCTATTAAGAGAGCTTGGCGCATTTGCAAAGAACTTCCACTTTTGTTTTGATTAATCACAGTTTAGAGTGTCACCCGAACCCTGAACTGTGGTTAATCTTTATCGTGGAAAGTTGGCGCAAGCCACCTTCATAATCAGTGGCTTGAAGTTGGCTTGTTACAACATATTTATGATTAGCTGCAGCTTTTGGATATCATGACAAGGTGTGGCAAGTCTGAAAAAGACCTCACCATTTATGGTTGGTTTAGAGAGAAACAAACTACAAGCCCAGGTTTGGATGATTAGGCAAGCCAGACTGGCCTGGTTTGTTCACTTTTTCAGTGTTAGGACCACATTTCTTTGTGGGTAACGTTTTGGAATCTTCATGAGTGGATGCAGCCAGAGCCAAAAGTGGGTGAGGCCAGAGTCAAAAGTAGGCAGACTTTCACCTTTTGCACAATAGGTTGCATTCCAGCCACACAAAAGCCAAATGTTTCAACCCCCTCTCCATTCCTCCATCCTCTTGTCTCCGCGCAAGCAAAAGGCATCACAGTTCAAGTACACATTCCAGCAGTTGAGGAGGGAGTGAAGTAAAGGCAGTGAAGGGTGTAGCCTGGCAAAGGATAGTGGCCTAGGTCCCAAGGACTGGATAGAGGAGGCTAAAGGGCTGCATTAGCCTGAGATTCACCTTCTCTGTCTTCAACCATAGTACAAACCAGGCCATTATCACTGTCATTTGTGCTGTAGATTTTTACATATCAAAGAACAAAAATCAGTCTATCGCAAGAATTGTTCACTAGATTAGATATCTATAATTTTTTCATTTTATTTTTATGTTTTGAACAATTGAATAGTTTCTGGCAGTGTTAGAAACTGAGATATCAAAGCTAGGAGCCTAGATTATGGGTGCAACAATGGAATGTCTAGGCATGCTTTTTTATAAGAAGACTACAAAGTTGAAAATGAATGAGCGGCAGCTAAAATATTATGTTCATTTTTCGCATGGTATAGTCCTTCTCCTGCCCACCCACCCCCCTAATATTCTTAAGAGGGTCTCTTATCCAGTCTTCAGAGAGTGACTGAAAGTGGGGAGGCAGAAGAAGGTCCTCCTTTCCTTCCACTCTGCAGTTTTAATCTGAAATTGTAGGTGCAGTACTGCGCCCAGAGCTCAGAAACTGTTTGCACTAATGAAATTCCCTATTGCAAAATGCTCGTAGAACAATGAGGGAGTTTCGAACACTGGTTTTCTCTCTCCCTACCACAGTTGTTTTAACAGAGGGTCCCATGTAGGTTTGCACGGGATCCTCTGCTAAAATGTTGGGGGTGGGGGCATCATTTTAGTAGGAAGTTCTGATTCACACCCCTTCCTGATTCAGGGAGGGGCTATGTGTCGGAATCCCCTGCTGAAAGAGGCGGGTTCCCTCTATTGTTTTAGCAGAAGACTCCGTGTATATTTGTACAGAACCCCCTCCCAAATCAGTGAGGGAAATTCCCCCTTTGGCAGCAGATGCAGATATGCCATGTGAAAAGTTGTGCTAAAGAGAAACACGTCCCTTTCCATTTCTCTCACCCATCAGTCCTCCCAGCCATCATGGGCCCTGTAGTTTCAGCTGGGATGGGGTGGGAATGGCAGGATCTTTCTCAGGAAGGGGAAGAGGACCCCACAGCTGACAGTGGGGGAAAGTTCAGGTAGTGAGAGAGTCCTGCACTGCCGTTGCCAGGCGCCAATCTCGGGGAGGCAGCATGAACTGGGCCAGTTCCTTCTCCATCTCTACAGAGTCAAGTTCCCAGGTAGCCGAATAGGTAGCTGGATTATGGGTGGAGCTGGTTGAATTGGAGGTGTGGTGAGAGCTGGAGAGTTCAACACAGGTCCCATCGCCAGTGCCCCTCCCATCAGACATGCCCCTCCCCATCAAGAGCACCCGCCTGCAAGCAGAGTCTTCTCACTTGGGACCAACCAGAGCGGGAGGGGCAAGTCCATTGTTGGGATGCCTTTGCTTATGTCTAGCTGTGTATCCAAAAACTCCTACTTACGGATCATTGAACCATACACTTAGAGCTGATGCTGAGACTGTGTGCTGATTTTATCAATAAAGCTTTCAGCATTTCCTGAGTTGAGATTTGGAGTGTTTCATCTGATGGTGGGAGTCAGGGCAGTGATGTCAGCTGATGGGGGGGACTGCCTCACAGGTAAAATTTGGGCACCTGCCCCCCGCAGGCAGGCAGTTTCCTCATCCTCCCTTAAATTGACAAAATAGTTGGCATGTTCCATAAGAAATCCCCCAGCAGACCATCTTGATAACATATATTGAAACAAAAGGTGACAACCCTGGACATTTGATATTTCCTTAAATGTATCCCATGTCTTCATGGAATGTTATGGAGTCTGCTTTTAAATAACTATATAGTGGTGGCTTATTATGCCTATATGGAATGATGTGTGCCCCTGCAAATTAGGATGACACTTCAGGCTTCTGATGAACTGGATTATAGTCCACAAAGATTATGTCAGGGATGGGGAACTGGATCTAAGGGAACTTGCTCACCCTCCATGGGTCATTTTGACTGCTGGGCGGGGTTACTGGTTTGTCAATCACTTGGTGTCATGTTCAAAGCTCTGGGAGAAAATGGAGAATTATCTGCCTTTGGTTGTCCTCTTGCCTTTTTTTGGTGTGCCCCTGTTGATTTTTTGACGGCTTTTGATACCGTTGACCATGGCTTTTTTGTGGAGAGGCTGTTGGGAGTGGGTGGCATTGCTTTGCTAACTGGACGACCACTTAGGGAATTTTGTACGACCCTGTGGAACCTTCAGTGTTGAGAAGCCAGGGTTTGATTTTATCCCCCATGCTGTTTAAAATGTATATGAAACCACTGAATGGGATCATCCGCCATTTTGGAGTGTGCCGTCAGCAATATGCTGATGCTGCACAGCTTTAGTTCTTTACGGCTGCAGGTGTAGCAGCAGGTGTGCTGAATCAGTGTCTTGCCTTAGTAATGGACTGGGTGAAAGCCAATAAACTTAAGCTCAATCCGGACAAAACTGAGGAACTATTTGTGGGTGGTTACCTAGACCGGATGAGTGGGATGTGTCCTGCTCTAGATGGAATTGCACTTTTTCTGAAGGACCTAGTACATCACCAGTCTCAGGGTGGTGGTGAACAGCTCTCCTAGCTCCCCCTCTGTGGATGCTGAGCAAGCTGCTGTCAGTTGCAATGCCCCCCCAGAGCATGTAGCTGCTGGCAGTTCTTGGGCTGGGTTAGCAACATCACAGATCTTGTAGTTGCTGGGCTGACCCCTCCCTCCTATACTCATGGGTTGACTGAAGTGCTCTCAGCAGTGGTACCAAGCATGCAGCTGCTCAGCAGGGTGGCCTAGCAGTGTGATTCCCCCAGCATTAAATAAAGCACAGGGCGAAAATCTGTAAGCAAGGGCAAGCAAGGAGGAATTGCCTGAGCGACTGAATGAACTGAATGCCTGCAGCATTGCCCAGAAAAGGCTAAGTTGAAGGTGGCTTTTGGCTCTGTTGTTCCGTGAGACGATGAAGAAAGGGTGAGAGAGCAGAGAATTCATGGCAGAGACAGGACTCAAACCGGGGACTTCCTGACTCATAGCTCAGTTTCTTGACCCCAGGCCATGGTGGCCTTCCACATGTTGCTGGACTACAGCTCCCATCCTCCTTGACCATTGACTGTTTTGGCTGAGACAGATGGGACTTGGGTCTAACAACACCTGGAGGATCACAGATGCTGTGCCAGATCAGAAGTTTTCCACTTCATAATTACAGATCATATTTACCTGTTTAGAAAAAAATGCTCTACTTTTCCTTATAAAATAAACTCAAAAATCTTTGTACACAAATGGAAAAATAACAGCAAGCACAATAAAATGTTCAAATTAATGTAAAGCTAGTTCAGATTACTAAATTATGCTAATAAGCATACATAAATGCATACAAATAAATATTTTGCCTTCTGGATCCCACAGTATGAAAAGGAAACTTAATCTCTACTTTATTACTTTTAGATGCAGAGTGTTAGTTTTAACTATGTATATGTTTTAATTCCTACTTTGAACAAGTATTGTGTTTGTTCAGGTGATTGCTGAACATCCAGATGCCTCGAGTGACGAAATTGAAGAGCTGCTGGAATCACAGTGGAACATGCTTAGTGAAAAACAGAAAGCACGCTATAACACAAAATTTGCCATAGTGACCTCTCCTAAATCTGAAGAAGACACTGGTAAACGTAAAACTGTGCTAGTATACTCTAACTAAGTTTAATATATGTGGTGGTGTTAACCTAAGCACACAGCTTGAGACTTGTAGGGGGGCGGGCAGACTTTGCTGTTCTCCACTTCTAATTTTGGTGTGTCGTGATGATAGCCGTGAATGCAGTCTTTACAATAAAAGTCAATAATGTCTGCATTTCTTGGTCATTGTTCTGCGGAGTTTTTCTGTGTAAAACTACTGTTTAGATATTGCTGGTTTCTCATTCCCTTCCTGTCTATAAGCAGCTGCCTCACTGTTAGCAAAGTGAGAATGGTGGAAATGAGGAGAAATAACCTTAGCATTTAAATGTTATCATTAAACATAATCAGACTTCTTAAAATTACAGTGTCATTTGTAATTTTATTTCCCTTTATAATAAGTGAAACTGTTGACACGTGCATAAACATCAGAAATGCATGTTTCCAAATTATAAATGACCAATTGAGCACTGTGCTGGTCTTCTAGAATAGCATCACAGCCTGCAAGGCATTTTGGTTGTTTGGTTGATATTAACACTTCGCTCAATATCCCGATATAGTACTAAAAGTTCTTTGGAATAATGAATAAACCTGAAGGAGAAAGGGAGGGAATTATATGAGTGATCTTTCTCAGTAAAAGTAGTAGCAGTAGTAGTAGTAATAAAGTAATAAATATTTAGCATATTAACTTCATTAGATTATTATGGAAATTTTAAGCCATCAGGTTGCTGCTTTGGGCAATGAGTGGAATGAAGGTGTGTTTGACAGGTTTGTCAGTTTTGGAAAAAAATGTATAAAAAGTGCAGTCAGTTTTGTTATCTGTGTATGAAATAACATCTTGTGGGAAAGTTAACAGCTTTGTCTTAATGTGTAAAATAATGGATGTCTATTTTAAAACAAACAACACTGCACAACATTCTGTATCTCTAAAGGTTCGTCACAGAAGAATATGGGCGAGGCCAAGCGTAAAGTGTTTCAAGAATCCCCTAAAAGGAGATCAAGATCCAGAAGTAATTGAAATCTGTGCTGTGTACTATTAATTCATTATGAGTAATTCTTAAGTCTGCCTTTTATGTAATTGCTCACAAATCATCGTTTTTCTCTCAGATGTTGTGTTCCTTTGGCTTCAGAATTTTTATGGCTCCCGAATTAAATACTTGAGTGCTGTAGTGCTGAATTTTGTTCAACTTCCTGATAGCTTCGTCCTACAAAATAACCGAAATGAATATAGCTTACTTCATATCTATACAATATGTATTTCATGCTTGGGCATGTTTTTAGCAGTCTGCAAATGATCACCATTGTATGCCAGTATAGATTATGCCAATATATTATGTTCAGAAAGCAGTGGCGTAGTATATAATAACTGCTGGCTGTGGTATTTTTAAGCTTCCTAATTGACATGAATCATGTCTGGACAGTTATCTGTAGCTGTAAAAAAAATTAGTTTATTAGCATTTGTTACAGGATATCATATTATGTTCTGAAGTTGAAGTTCGGACTGTTACATGAAGCAGCTGCTCCTCAAGGCACTTCTGCTGAGATGGGGAAAGCAGCTGAGATGAAGTTCATTACTATTACTTTTTCCATATAGATTCAGACTGCTAAGAAGTTTGCCTTTTTTTAAAGTAAGTCTTTACACCAGAGCAGAGCTGTTGAAACATAGATTGGCTGCTGATCCTTTTGTCTTGGAGCTACCTCTCTGTAACATGGAATTTGACTACTTCATCTCCCCTCAATATGTAAACATTCAGGGTGTTGATGGCAACTGTTCTTCTAGGCTTTGATTGAGACAGAACATTTAAAACGGGGTTTTCTTGGCCTTCGTACAAAATAAATTCACATGCTACATGTATTGCTATACGTCTGCCAAATTGTGGGAGAAATGGCACTAGTGATCTCACAGACAGGGGTAACTGAAGCCTTCTATTGTATAAGACCTTAATTCCTGGAAGAAATTATTTTAAACCAAGAGTAAGACTTCAAATTGTGGGTCCATTGGTAAATTGCTTGAAACAAGAAAACGAATGTTAACTTGCGCAATAACCATGTGGTGTGTTTTGATAAGAAGCTTAGCCCTGAAAGATTTGTACTGTAAAACTAGTTTAGAAACAGGACTTCCAAGCCCCAGGCTTTTAAGGGTTAATAAAGCATATGAAAACTGATGAAAACTAGATGAGTTCAAGATACTTTCTAAATGAGCTTTAGATCTTTTTCATGTAAGTTTCCCCCCATCCCCCTGCTCCAAGGTAACTTACATGGAAATAAAAGGAAACCAATAAAGAGGACAAGGAAACCTAAAGAAGATTTTGAACTTCAGGAACTTCCTAGGAAAAGGCTCAGGATGGATAAGAAGAATTACCTAAAGGTAACTACATTGTTGGCTTGTTTGGTACATTATAATAGCACCAGACTTTCAGTTTTTCAGAGTTTCTATAATGTTCTGCTTCACTGCAAACAAATGCATTAGCTATGAAGTGGTTACTCAGAATGAATTTAGAACACAAGTTTGGGGTGTATTTGAATACATCCTCTAGGATGTCATATGCATCATTGAATGTGACTCTTCCTGGACCTTTTTGCCAAGTAAGTGGGAGAGGTGTTGTCAGGAAGCCGGGGGGGGGGGGGAATAATGGACTGTATTTGGGAAAACAAATAACTCAAATGGCTCTTTTCCTCAGGAACACTATATAGGAATATCACTGCTTTAGAGAGCCATCACTGCTTTTTTAATGCAGCGTTCCCGGAGCACTAATCCTCTTTCCATCTGAGACCTATTTGCATATCTAACTACCCTTCACAATGAGCAAAGGGGCAGAAACGCTGAATTTTAATAGGCCTCAATTCCAGAATTAAGATGGACATAAATAAGTGAGAAAGAACGAGCATAGCTAGACCACACACCATTTCCACATTGGGTTTAAACGCTCACTTGCTAATAATGTTCAACCAAAATTAGCTCTCCTGGAACTTAAGCTCATTAGATCTTGTCCTGCCATTTGGCAGAAGAGAACGCATCTTTGCCCTTTTCTGTGTGATGGCCTTTCAGTTTTTAAATAATGTCTTCTCCAGGCTAAACATACCCAGATCTTTTAATCATTTCTCATACCTCTGACCATCTTCGTTGCTCTTCTCTGAATGCATCCCAGTTTGTGCAGTGCAGAGCAATAGGGCAACTTTCTGAAATATTTTGCTATGCAAAATGTAATTGTACACTAAAGTCATGTGAACACCAGTGGCCATCTTTAATACATAGATCATGGGATATATTTTATAACAACCTTTAAAAACAAACTTTGAGGTTAGGACATGCATGCTTAAAATTGCTTTCAGTGTTGTACAATTCAGTATCAGAAATCAGTATACAATAAAGTAGGTTTCTGTGGGCTCCTGTTGATTGTGGGGCTGGTGTTTTCTCGGTTTGGATTAGAGTGCATTGACTTTCTCTTTGATTCTATGAGTGCAGCAATTTCTCAGTTCTTGTTCATGATGGAGTTATTTGCACATAAATTGAAAATATGCATGAGGTGAGCTTTGTTGTTCTTACTCAAGGTAGCCCAGAATTTGCAGAACTGTTGGTTAAGTTACACTTTACGTAAGTAAAGCTTAATCTTAAACAAATGAGACTCTTACCTGAATGTGTACTCAGAATTTCAGTGTTAATCATTCATGGAAGAATCTTTTAGACCATAAACTTATAACTTAGTATATTTAAGGCTTGATTCAGACATCTTTCTAGAGTGCAAATTGGGGGGGGGGTGTCTGCTTGTTTGGAATTTGAGGATTCCGTTCCTGTCTAACAGTGTTCTGAACAATTGGGAGGGGAGAAGAAGGTTTAGGAACTGATGGATAGCCCTCATTTTCTTGAATATGGAGCTTTTCAACACCAGCTTGTCCTTTTCAACAAGTGCAACTGTCTTTCTTTTAAAAAATGCTGTTGGTCACTTTGCTCCAGCAACAGCTTGTGTCTATGATTTGCCCAATAAAGCAATATAAAAGATCTTGCAGATATTTGTTGCATAATTCTGAGAAAACAGCCCTCCAATCTCAAGAGCCTTGCTTATAAGTATTTTGGCTTCCAAGAGGCCAGCTGCCTCTGCCTCTTCAGAATGCTGAAGGGCTCCATTCCACAAGAATCCCAACAGGAAGGAAAGCCTAGAACAAACTGGCTTTTGCCCCCCTGCTTAACCCCTTTTTTTTTATTTTTTAGCCACCAGTCTTTCCCTGCTCCTCCCCTGTCCAGGGAATAACTCCAGCCCTAACCCCTTCAGGAGCTGCTGCTGTGAGCTTGCCGTACTTGGGGGTGGCAAAGGAAAGTACAGGTTGAGCAAACTCAGTGCTTCCTAGACTTCGCTGACAGATGGTGCGGCTGCAGGCAGGGAGCCCTCCAGGGCTTTGAATGGGCTGAAGCAGCCTCTGTAATCAGCCACATTAAGAACATCATACTGTCCCTGGTAGTGCAGCATCGTGGATAACATTGCAACGTCTTGGTGTTTCTGTCGGTGTGTGAGAGAGGGAAATTCTTTCCTTTGGTTTCAGTTTTGTGCTGTTCTTTACACTGGATTAGGGTGTCCATGTGTCCTCTTTTTCCAGGACACATTCTCTTTCTCAGGGGTAAAATTTATGTCCGGGTGGATTTTTTTAAATTTGCCAAAATGTCTCTGGCTATACTTTCTGGATGAGACATAGACGTAACTGATGGTTGAAGTTACAGGTAGGTAGCCGTGTTGGTCTGCCGTAGTCGAAACAAAATTAAAAAAATTGCTTCCAGTAGCACCTTAAGAGACCAACCAAGTTTGTTATTGGTATGAGCTTTTGTGTGCTCATACCAATAACAAACTTAGTTGGTCTCTAAGGTGCTACTGGAAGCAATTTTTTAATGCTGGTTGAAGACTTGCCTTCTTGTTCTCTTCTCATGCTTTCTTCTTCTCTCCTCCTGTCCCCCTCAGCAATATATCGCAGATTCTATTCTTCTTTCTTTGGCGATCACTCGTAGCCAAGTAAGATTGTCTTCCATTAACACGGTTTTAACAATGAGTCTGTAAGTGACTGTGGAGGCCAATCCTGGATCCATACGTCCTTCCACAGAGGGGACATAGGTTTCCGGGCGGGAGTTGATCACAGTGTGGATTTGCCAAGCATGGCTTCCTCTTAGCACATTTCTCCCTTGCATCCTGAGTTCGAGTGTCTTCAAAGCCCATTACACCTTTGGTAAAGGCTGGAGCGCTCTCAGGCAAATGTTTCCCAATTGTGGGTGTTTATACTACTTTTTAAAAAATTGCCTTGAGACAGTCTTTAAACCTCTTTTGTTGACCACCAGCATTACAGTTTCTATTTTTAAATTCGGAATAGAGTATTTGTTCTGGAAGACGATAATCAGGTATCCGCAGAACATGACCAGTAGGCGTATTTAAAATGAGAGTCATCATAAAAAAGGTAAAGGTACCCCTGCCCGTACGGGCCAGTCTTGACAGACTCTAGGGTTGTGCGCCCATCTCACTCAAGAGGCCGGGGGCCAGCGCTGTCCGGAGACACTTCCGGGTCACGTGGCCAGCGTGACAAAGCTGCATCTGGCGAGCCAGAGCCACACACGGAAACGCCGTTTACCTTCCCGCTAGTAAGCGGTCCCTATTTATCTACTTGCACCTGGGGGTGCTTTCGAACTGCTAGGTTGGCAGGCGCTGGGACCGAGCAGCGGGAGCGCACCCCGCCGCGGGGATTCGAACCGCCGACCTTTCGATCGGCAAGCCCTAGGCGCTGAGGCTTTTACCCACAGCGCCACCCGCGTCCCTAATAAATGATTGTTTTGAGAGTCATCATAGCATCCTCTTTTTTTGCTCTTCACAATCTGGCAACCACACACTGGAAATAAGTGAGCACCTTTTTGCGATGCAGTCTCTGCCACAATACTCGCTTTGTCCCTTTTTTATGAAATCAAAGCATGTGGTTATAACATGGTTTTTTTTAAAAAAAAAACAGTCTTCATTGAGAATAGAATTGGGTGGCCTTAACTTAGTGAACACAATGTAATTTCATGCATAAATGGAACATTTCATACTTTTATCAACTTGACTTAGTCAAAACACAGTTTAGCACCTTCTAAAATTCATTATAGAAACCCTTCAGATCAGAAACCAGTCAGATTTATGGTTACAAAAATACTGAGTTCTGGATAGACCATGCCTGCAACAGGTTTGTATAATACTAATACACCTTTAATAATACTAATAAATGATTGTTTTGACTGATAGTTTCTCACCTTCAAGAGATTCCATATAAATGAGATGGATGTGGGGTTTTTTTTTACCTTTGTAGTATCTTCTGTAGTTTTGTATTACAAAGACATTTGCCTGGTAATGTCCACATTTATCCAGATTAGGTTTTTTATTTTTTCATTTCATTTCATTTTTATTTTTATTTCGTAACAGAGGGAGACAAGCAATGACAAAACAGCAAAAACAAACTCAGCTAAAGTCACAGAAACCTCTTCTTCACAAAAGAACCAGTCAGGTAATGTGGTCAGAACAAGCTTTGATGTAACATTTTCAATTAAATTCTTATAAATTCCAGTTGTTGAAGATTGCCAACTCCCTAGTTTGATGGGAAAATGTGGCTTTGTTTGAATGCTGGCATGAGTTGTTGTTTTCCTGTATTGCTGTTGTTGGCCCATATCTTTCTAATATTGTGAAGAATGGGATTCATTAGACATACCTGGTAAAGTAGAGTGCAGTGAACCCCACCCCTCAGTCATTCTATGGGCTAGTTTTTAACATGCCACAGGATTCTTTGGCTTGGACCTGGTGGCACACTTGGCAATGAACAGAGACCAGTTGTGTTTACACAAAGTGGGATCTTACTGCCCATTTGGCCCCTTGCATCTACAGTGCCACACAACACCAGACGTCATGTTGGAAGACCCCCTGGCCCTCTGAAACGGCTTTTACGAGACCAGAAACCTCTGTTCTGCTTGCAGTTCTTAGAATTCAAATTCAGACCTTTGTCATTCAATTTAGCATTGCGTTTTTCCATGCCGTTTTGTTAGATTTAGTTCGACAGAGCAGTGATGAGGAGTGGGAGGTAGAGAACCAGTCTCTAAAAGCTATTGGTCTAGATACACTTCCGTGACAGTGCAATCCTAGAAATGTGAGCTCAGAAGTAAGCCCCACTGTGCTCATGGAACATGCTTCAAGGTAAGAATGTATAGGATTGTTGCTTAAAAGAGAAATCTGGGTGTTATAGTGTGGCATGTTTCACCACCATGGGGTTGTTTTTCAAACTATTTTATCCTTGAAAACAAATTTGCTAGTATTTTTTAAACCCCAGTTTCTACTTAATGGACAAATTGAGGAAAATCCAATACATGCTGCTCCACGTTCCATAGAATACAAATTAATTAACAAGGGACAAATGTGCAGACTTGTTTAACTGAAGTGTTTCTTAACTATGAGTGCCTTTTGAAAGTGCTCTACAGTTCAGTACTGCGGTAGTTTAAAAAGCCCGGTGTAAAAGGTTCCCACACATTTGAGGGGAGGTTATCTACAGAATTCGAGAAAATGCGTTAGAATTCCAAGTTCACCTTGTAAACAAATTATTTTGCCGCAATGACAGGTCTTTCAGATGCATGTAAACCCCTGAAGAAGCGAAACCGGGCTTCAGCAGCAGAGCCGTCAGATCTTGCCTATAGCAAAACTTCATCTCCTTCAGCTTCCTTAACTGAGAACGAGGTAAAAATATGAATGAATAGTGGCGTTCAGATAAAACACCATAACTTCTTTTTTAAAAAACCATGTACAAAATCCACATAAAACAAGGCGATGAAATTTAGAGCGAGGCATTTCTGTTCTGTGAACACCTCTCCTGCACTTCACCGCCTCTCTTCTTGCAACACACTGGTAGACTGAGCTGTGCAAGGCAGGGAGAGGAGGAAGGGCTGGTGAATATCTGGCTCAGAAAGAAACTTCATCTCAGATGGGTCCAACAAAAGCATTCCTCATACCCAAATGCTCGGGAAGAGATACTCCTATAACATGCACAGTGTCTCCTGAAATAGCACTCTGGATAACTCAGTGCCACCCATGATTATCGTGACTTTCTTCCTTGGTCAGCCCCTTCTGTGTAGAACTCTGTATTGCTTTAAAACTATTAAAGGTAGAAGATTGAATTGAAAAGCACCTGGAAGAGCATACTTCAAGCTTCCGAGTCAGTATATAATACTTGGAATGTACATACAATTCAAGCTGTACTAGGACTAACGCAAGTTAAAATGTTGTGTAAAAATTGCAAAATCAAAGTTTGGCAACTTCTCTGAACATTTTAGAATATGTTTGTATGTTGGCGTATTAAGATATACTCAAAGCTAACCTGAAGGAGGGAAAAAAACCAACCAACTAAGGAGCTGCTTCACTTCCAAATGCATCTTATTCTGGTAAATTGTTACATAATTTCACATTAAATAGTATCATATTTATGCCATCTTGTGTTTATATCAATGTTTTATGGAACTAATTGGAATAACTAAGGTATGTATCACAATGTATACAACAGTGTAAGTGTACATAGATTGAATATTCTCTATAAAAAGTTAAACACTCTGTTCCAAGATTATAGTTTATTTCAACTACACAGAAAGCTGTGTAATTATTGTTGCAACAATGTAAATCACAGATTGCATGTATGGTTGCAATTTGCTGTAAATACAGACACGGTGTAACCAGCCTGGATAGCACAGTGCTGATAACACCAAGGTTGCGTTTTGATTAGCTGCATATTCCTGCATTGCAGGGGGTTTGACTAGATTATCCTTGGGGCCCCTTCCAACTCTGATCCTATGTCCGGATAATGAATATGGCTCCTGAGAGAAGTAACAGAAGCTTCCGACCTCATTCCCTTCGCTTCCTAAACCGTTCCTTTGGATTTGGATTGTTGCTCTTGAACAAGGTGGGGTAGGGCTCAGGTTGTTGCTGGATCAGGCGGGAACCTATTTCTCAGCAGACGTGTAGAAGTGTTCTGTTTGGATCCAAGTCATTATTTTTAGATAATTCTATAAACGCACTGAACTAATATTCAGTTTGGGCCGTGCAACTTTAAGCCTCTCTTAGCTGGAGTCTGGGCTGGCTCTGGTTGCTTCGTATCCCCCACTCAGCTCTTGGTGTCCAGGCCCTCCTTTTGGACAGGAGAACAATCTTCAGTGTCACAGTGCCAGGTAGCATTTTCAGTGTAGCAAGTCTGAAGGTCTGAAAAATACTCATATAGACTTGGTTGACTGAACTACATCTGGCATGGTTTTCGATTGCACCTTCCCTTCCTCTGACTCCTTTTCCCTTTGGGCATTTGAAAGAGCCTACACTTCAGGCATACTGAAGTTTCTAGGTGTACAAATTATTCTGGGAGACAACAGCAGCTCTCACAGTGGCCCTAGGAGGAAACACTACAGGTGGAATGTCTGAAGACCTGATCAGTTCCATTATCAGTTCAATTACTCCAGTGCTGGATATCTCACCTATTTGAGATGAGAATTACCTAGCGTAGATGATGATCATGGATTCCTGGCTCAGTAGCTGGGGAAGTAGTTTTGAGAAGGAAACTGATGCTATAATGGCAATTTCCTGAAGCTGAGGGAGATTGTGGTGGCAGCTTGTTAGTACTTCTCAAGGCAAATGGAGGGACGTTGTGTTGCATCATGCGGACAGACAGCAAAGATCATTGTCACAATCTCTCCTAAATGAAGGCCTTCTGCTCTTCTGGGGTCCTGCAGGCAGTGGCCCTAAATACTTAATGAACAAACACCAATCCATTGGTTTCTGAATTCCAGAGAATACCCTTAGAGTAGTGACCAAGGTTGGGTAAGTGGTGATGTGACTTTTTCTTCTCTGTTTAGCAATCCACTGATACTTTTTTTCATTAGGAGAAGTAATAAGAGACAGTCAACCCACTAAGGGCAGATTGGCCAGTTGATTTCATAGACACCTTTCCTCCATTTCTTTATATCTCCTAGGCTAGCATAAAAGTTCTGTGAGCAGCAGGTAGGGATGTTCCTTATTGCTGCAATGTGCTGAGGAGACCATGGTTCTCAGATTTTGTGAGTTCCAACATCCTCATGGCTCAGTCATGCACCAGAATCAAAAGTATAAGCATTTAACTGCTTGGAGGTTGAAAAGAACCTCCCCCTAACCCATGATTACTCCAAACATGTGTTTGGTACATTTCTGGCTTGTTCTGTGACCAATAGTTCGTGGGATTGCAAGAAAGGATTCATCAGCAGGTTGGGTGGGTCTAGTAAGATCTCTTATAGAAGGGGTTTTGGAAGTCCTGGAGTTTCTGCAGGACAGTCTTAACACATTTTGCAGACAGGCTTCGGCTTTGGCTAACATTGTAGGCCCCTTGACATCTCCAGCTTCGCACTCACAAGTGCACCAGCTTCTGAGAACAGTGTTCCGCATTTTTCCTGCAGCTTGTATAGTCCTTGTCTATCATAGTTCTGTGGGCACTAGCCAAAGCTCTTTCCAAGCTGTTAAAATTTTACATTTGTGTATGTGAATTTCCGTCCAGCTCTGCCTATACCAAAGGACAGTATACTTGCTCATGGCCTACTTCACTACAAAAGTGTGGCCGTGTGCTAAACAGTGAGATTTATTTTTATACCTTGCTTTTTAACCAAGGTTGACTGTCAGGGTAGTTTACCATCAGAATCCGCATAGTACAATATAGTTGGGATTATGTTAGAATGCGTGTAGCAGTCTCTTCTGGACACTGGTGATAAAGTACATGATCTAAGTCCTTTTCTAGACGGAAGGGCACTGTAGGAGCTACAGAACTGATTTGACGGGGCAAAGCCTTAATTAACAGAAATCTCTTTAAAATGGCTGTCAGGGAACTGCCATCAGTGCCGGAGGGAGAGAGAGAGCTCCAGAGGGATCCCAGAGAGCGTCCCGGGATTGGGAGAGGCAGCCCATCTTCTGGGGAAGGGAATCAGCTCAGCTCCAGTGGAGAAGGGGGGCAGATGGGGGAATCTGAGAGGGAGTCACATGACTCCTTGCCGGGAACCAGCGGGGGGAGGAAGGGTCCTCCGCTGCCTACGCCCTCCTTGCGCAGAAGGCTTCCGTGCAGGGAGAGTAGGAGGAGACTGGGTGTGAAAGAACTTCTATGTTGGAAGAAGTTTAAGAAACGCCCACTGACGGATTCTGCCAGCCATTGAGACAGCCACGGGTGAGTGGCTGTCCGGACAGTAAAGGTTCACTCAGGCAACCCAGCCAGGTGTTGGCACCGGCTTACGCACGAGCAACCCCTAGAACCATTGCAATGGCCCTTGGCAAAAGAGGTACCCATGGCATTTCTGGATCTTTGGTTAGGAAATACATTACCATTTGAAATGCATAAACCCGTCAATCAGTTTCCTAATGTGCGAAGATGTACACACAGGGCTCCGGGGAGCACTTGTGAGTAAGCAAGCCAGGGTGCCTTCGAGAATGTGGAAATGAATGGACAAACCACAGTAAAGCATTCTGTCCTGTGGGCAACCCCTGGATCACAGACCATATAAGTCCAACTGCTAGATTTTAGCGAGCCCTTGGGATCCCTTCCCCACCCATCAGCTGTTAAGTGGGGAGCATAAAGTGTGCAACTGCAGTGCCTTCCTCTGGAAGATGATAAAAGCAGAGAGGAAACATCCCAGCAGAGAGGTATACTTGCGTTTCTTGAAAATACACAAAAAACACCCTTGCAGTCTGCAAATTGCATATATGCAATTATTGGGATGCAAACTGCATTTTGATGTTTGAGGCTTTGGATAGCTGCAAGAGAGGGCTCGCTATTCAACTGTGCATTTTTTATTTTTTGCATTCTTCTGAAATTTCTGAGGTTGGTTGGTTTTCCCCTGTTATGCAGTCGTGATAAGATAAAGTGTGTTTCAGAGCTTTTTAAAATAACCTTCATAAAGACAGCTATGGATAAAATGGAAGAGGAAAGTTGAGAGTGCAGTTAAAAATACATCTATCTTACCATGGACCATCACTGTATTCAGATCTGGCACTTGTATATGGGAGTGTGGCTCCTGACAGCTTCCCATCCAAGTAATGTATCCCTCCTTCGCCCTGAACTAATGAGCCAGAGATACTCAGTGCTAGTCTTTTGAAAGAGAGAAACGTGTATCTATGACGCCCTGAACTCTTGGTCTAACAACTTCGAATTTGCAGGATCTGCAGTTCCTGCCTCTTCCCTCTGAAGATGGCAGTCTAGAATCTGGACCGTGTAGCTTGGAAGATGTGTCTTTATAGATAAATTCACAATCATGGGTTGGGTATTACTTTTTGGTAATTGGTGAAGGAAATGCCCAACCTGAATATTTGAAATCCTTGCTATTTTTAAATGTACCTGTGCTAGACGCCCTATGAATACCCTTGAGTGGCAAAATGAGGATTCTGTTCTTGTGAATTTATGTGGATTTATGTCCATTTGGGAAGAAAGGGCTTATCTGTGCCTACCCTCTCTTGGTTCTGCTCCCTTTCATGGTCTTATTCTTTCTGGGCTTTATAAGGTTGAATTATTTCCCCTAGTGCCTGGTCACTAGGTTATCATGTGTTCATTGAAAGCTGTACAGCATCTCTAAAATTACTGAAGTTTCTTATACTGTTAGAACTTTTCTCCGTGAGCTCCATTTCATCAGTTACATTTTAGGCTAGTGGTTCTCAAAACATTTTGCAGCAGCAGAACCTTTCACTTTGAACAA